AATCATTTATAAAAATTTCAGTTTAATCTAACGGTAAATTACCACATAACTTATTAATTATTACTACTAATAATATTAAGAGAAAATTACTACTATTAAGATGAATATTTTCATAGGCTTTACATTAAGTGAGTTGGCTCACCAATTCAGCTCACCACGGAACAATATAGATGAATGATTCATTAAGTTAAATTAAAAATTGATCTGTATAATTTTTTTTATTTTTTTTAAACTAACCTTATTCGAATCCGTGATAGACCGAATTAATAAAGAGGTTTGAACCCATTTTGAGATACTACATGCCTATATTTTACAAGTTTCGTTTATTGAAAAAGTCACTGCAGCCATAAGTCAACATGGGTAAGCGTATAACTATTCTTTTAATGTTTGGTCTATTTCAGGTACATTGTTCTTTCAATATTTGCTCAATATATTTTATTCAAAAACTATTCTTTTATTCAAAACACAAATTCAGATTATAAGTGATTTCTTTTTTTCGCACGTATAAATTCAGAGTATCAGCTATTAAAAAATATTTACTATTGAGCGAATGAGTATTTCTTATAATTATATCTCTCATCTACGCGGAGAGGAAAAGAAAGAATTAAAAAAAAGGTCGGTCATACATGAGTTAAAACTTACAAATATATATTTTGAAGAATAAATTTTATCTTAGAATTACTTTTGGCATTTAAAATTTGTTAACTACTGAAAAGCTTATATTTAGTTTTTTAAAATATATTTGTGGCGTCTTCGTTATATTAATTTTGATCGAAGGTTCCATTTTAGTTTCTATGATAATTTTATTTGATTTGTTTTAATTTGGCAGTAGCTTTTAGTTTTCATACCTTCAAAAATAGTACTTTTTATTAAATTAAAAACATTAAAATGTACACAGAAGTAAAACTTAAACGAAATGAAAACTATAAACATAAAAGGTTAAATCTTTAAATTAAAGATAAAAGCTAATGTATAGTTTATATATATTATATATATATAAAAGCTTACTTTAATCCTGAAAATTTTACCCTATTCCACGTGGAGGGCCTAGCTATTGAAAACACCTGATACATAGGAGTATAAGAGAAGAAACCAAATCAAAACAATGGGAAGGTTGATAAAATATGGAAAATTTTTCAGAAAGCGTGTAAACCGTAAAGTTAAATAACAGTTTTAGTAGTTATCAAAGAACAACAACAAATAATAATACATAGATTCTTTAAGAATGTTGTTTTTGTTCTTGCAATGTAAAAGAAAATACATTATTAGAAAGTAAGTTTATTTTGAAAAATTTGACTTACAAAAAGATAAAGTTTTGATTATCAATGGAGATTTCTATCTCTAATATGCATAAAGAAAATTATCAAAAAATCAAACATGGTGGACTTGTCCTTTTCAGACCTGTCTGTCAACGCCACTATTTTCCATCCTCATCAGCATATAGCACAGTCACTCATCTTTCTCTTCTTTTTTCTCTTCTTTTTTGCCTTATTTTTCTTCCTCTCTTTTCATCAGCTCAAGGAAAACAGCTATGACCACCAGAGAAATCCTTAACAAGATGAAGGTACAGGTCATTCCCTTTTGATATTGCATAGAAAATTAGTGGTGGCTGGACTTGGATCACATTTTTCTTGCTTTTATATTCATCAATTGATAAATTATGTAGATCTTCATTTGTGGGTATTATTACTCTTCATCATTCGATTCTGTGGATTGCTTTTTGTTGCTTATATTACTAAAGTTAATAAACTCAACTTGTTTTATTTGTATGCCTTTTGTGGTTGTTGTTGAACCGATTCATGGAGTGTGCCTGGTCTTTCATCATTGACTTTGACTTGTAAGAGAGTGTCTCCAATCACTTTTCTGCAATCTAATGTTATTATCTTTCAGCTATCTCCGATCTGTAGGAAACATTTCACTGAAACTGATATGCATCTTTGTTTCCGGTATGAGAAAAGTATACCAGATCATGTCAAATACTTCAATTGGTTTTAATGCGTGATGTAAATTGTGATGAGTGAGGGCTTGTTCCAGAACCAACCTGCTATCATGTTTGCTCGTTTCTGTCATACCCTAGGCTTACTCTGAAATGACAAAGTTACAAAATAAAGATGTTAAGAGGACTTTCTTCCAAAACCTGGTTCTTTGTCCATTAAGAGCCATCTGTTCCTTGTCATTAATCTGGGATTTTCCTTAACGACTTTTGCAAAAACTATAGTGAAAGAAGTTGAGGGCTTTCTAATTTCCTTCCAGGGAAGTTGTAAAATCATAATATATCACTTTGAATGAGCTAGTTAGCTTTTAACAATAGGGCTTGTGGGGTTTTTGGCTTTGATCTATCTATGTGAGCTAGATCATTTTTTGATAGCTCTAACATAAAGTGTAACAAACGATCTTGTTGTATAAGAGTTGGGAAAGTGGTTGTGTGATTCAGGTAACCTATCTCACTGTTGAGATAAAGTTTTCCTGTTGTAATGGAGAGGGTTGGGAGGGCACCACTGGTTTCTCTGGTCAGAACATATTTCTTTACATATGGTCTTCAACCTTCAGAATTGAATGCATCTTCTTAATGACCATAGAACTATATGGCAAGGTCAATCATCCACTTGATTAACTACTTCGCATATTGACAACCAAAGCATGAGTCTATAGTCAATTTGTTGACGTGAACGTTGCTTGCAGGTAAAAGTTGGTTTGGGTTCATCAGACCCTGATTCGGGGAAAGGCAAGAGCAAGATGTCGAAGAACATAACTCATGGCTTTCACTTGGTAAAAGGAAAATCATATCATGACATGGAGGATTATGTTGTTGCTCAATTTAAGCAAGTAGACAGCAATGAATTGGGTTTGTTTGCAATATTTGATGGACACGCAGGTCACAATGTACCTAATTACCTACAGTCTCATTTGTTTGATAATATCTTAAAAGAGGTAATGGATGAGCTTTTGCTGGTTACTTAACTGTAAGTCAGATTAATTTCAGGGATATCCTCAAAATCGAAAATTAACTATAGTTAAATGAATATGATTACTATTTGTAATAGAAGTTCAATCATTTTTTGTCTTGTGTAGCCTGACTTCTGGAAAGAACCTGCAGATGCTGTCAAGAGAGCTTACAGTAAAACTGATTCTAATATTTTAGAGATGTCGGGTGAATTGGGTAGAGGAGGTTCAACTGCAGTTACAGCCATATTAGTCAATTGTCAGAAGTTAATAGTAGCCAACATTGGGGATTCCAGGGCTGTCTTATGCAAGAAGGGTGTGGCCAAACAATTATCAGTGGATCATGAGCCAAACACGGAGCATGAAGATATAAAAAATAGAGGTGGTTTTGTATCAAACTTTCCAGGTATGACAATTTAAAATGCACATAACTTTGCCTTGATCTTACTAAATGCTCCACTAGGTTGGTCGGTTGTGAGATTTGTAGCACAGAGCTAATGATTCTCGCTGTTTTTCTGATCTAGTTGAGTTGCTTGCTTTAAAAAATTCAATTAGAGCAGCATAGACTTTTGTTCCAGTGCTAAGGATGCAACTTTTATCATTACCTCAGGGGATGTTCCACGGGTTGATGGACGGCTGGCTGTGTCAAGGGCTTTTGGTGACAAAAGCCTGAAGAAACATTTGAGTTCAGAGCCATTTGTGACAGTGGAGAATATAAATGATGATGCAGAATTCATTATATTAGCCAGTGATGGATTATGGAAGGTCAGTTTTTATAAATGAAGCATGATGCAAACACCTTATAACTATCTATCTATCTATCTCAATGTATATATTGGATAGGTTTAATTACTCATTTGATTCCTATATTTGCATAATCTTAACAATTTAGAAAATACTTGTTTTTTAGTCCATGCACACATACTTTTTAACTCTGTTTAGTATTTTTTTTGATCGGTTTTAGTCCTTATAGGTTTGGACAGTAGGGATTGAAGAGTGTATGTGTCTGATATGGCCTAAAGAGTAGTTTCTAAGTAGTCATGTTTGGTGCTTGTGGAGTTTTATCTAATGTTCAAATCTGTTTGTTCAAATTGTTTCAGGTCATGTCAAATCAAGAAGCAGTTAATTGTATCAAAAATATAAAGGATGCTCGGTCTTCAGCAAAGCGCCTTACCGAAGAAGCAGTTAACAAGAAAAGCACTGATGATATCTCGTGCATTGTTGTCAAATTTCAGTGATCACAACACTCACATGACATACTTTGAACCAGCAACTTCCAAGTGTAACATATACTGCGGTGTAATGAATAAAATGATAAATTATGTTGAGTCCTTCATGCAAATTAACAATGTGAGCAATATGTAGATTCTGTGATTATATAGACCAAACTTTAATCTGCAAGTTTGCAAGGAGGTTTGGCTTTGTCAGTGATCTTAGAACCTTACTTTTAGATCACTTCCTAGGCCTGTAAGACTTTAGATCAAGTTATTTGCTTGTATTACTCATTTCATTGTTGTCATAATTTGTTGTTATTTTTCAGAAGGAACCTGGGATTGACCTTCAACAATATCTTTTCATAAATAGGAGGGAGGGTGATGGCTTTGCAGTGTCATAAGCATATCAATAATTGACAGGGGCAGACAAGAACATGTTTGTTACCATTTTGAGCTATCTTACCGTTTTATTTACTGGAGATGCAAATAAATCCTACACATTTATTGTGGATATTTTATTTTACCCTTTTATACGTTTTGAGTCTATTGAATCTATATAAATAATTGAAAGAGATACCTGAATTTACTCAATAAACTATGGATTTTATTCTAATAATGGGGAAATACATCATTTTAAGGGTGGTATCAAGGCACACAGAAACATAAGAAACTTGGTAAGTAAATAATAAAATATAGAGCTTCAGCACCATGACGTAGTTTACATATGACACCACCTTTAAGTGTTGGGAGTTTTTAATTCTGGTTTAGATGCTTATTCTCCTAACATAAAAAGTGGACTTTATTATATGCCTTGGCATATTGTAAAGATCCGTTGACAGAAGAGAGGGAGCATGCTGATGAACACATTAAATTCATCTGAAGTTGAAGGACCTGTAACCAGAATTCCTTGCCATGTTCATCTGAATTCTTCCCCAGTCATCAGCATTTCTGCAGAGGCTTTCTGTAGGCTGCTGTCCTTTGCTGCTGCTGCTGCATCCTTCATTGCAAGTCTCAGCATTGCTCTTCCGGCGCCGTTCATTATGTCTTGCCAAGCGTCTCCGGCAGCTTCTTTTTGCTTCGTCAAATTCTGCCAGCTCATGGAACCTGCACAAACTCATCACAGGTTTCTAACACGGAAAATGTATAGAAGCAATCCCTTGAAATAGTTGACAATTCTTCTTTATATGGAAGATGAGTTAAAAGATCCAAGCACTGAAGTTGAATTTTTAATGTATGTTTCTGATGTATGCATCAGAAAATGTTTCTTGAGTAACACAACAACAAAATTTTTTAGTCACTGATTAAGATTCAAAGCATGCCTCTAATTACAAGAAGTCTGTTCATAGTTTCAATTTAAAGGACTACTTCAAAAATATTACAATGCTTAGTTTAAAAATTTTCATGGATAAGCATGATCAACTCTACTATATATAATGAAGATGCTAAAGGAATACAGGTTTACATCAAGAGAAAATGCTTTAGTTTAGATGAGGGATTTAACACCTGCTACATTGCTGGCAAAACCTCTGCCTCATTCCTGCAACCATCACAAAAGGTGCCTTGGAATGAAGCTCACACACCTTGTGGCGGCGATGGTACCTCTTTGCAACAGTCAAATCAGCACCACACATCTCTGCTTGACAAGAAGGTGGAGAAACTCCACCTCCAGTAGACCCTCTTCTCCCACCACCTGCCCCACCCTTCTTCCTCTCATCTTCTGCAAGACAGCCCTCAACGCCAGCCACACTTTCATCCTCCTCCTCTTCCTCCTCTTCTACTTCAACCGGACTGTCTCTCCTCACCTTCTCAATTGACACTTGCCTCCTGTCTCTACTCTTGATCTCCATTATGAGTTTTGACAAGTATGAAGAAGAAGAAGATGCTGGGGGCAAGAAAACGGTTAGAGGTTGTCTCTGGGAGCATTGTGAGGGAATGAGAGTTTATATGGAGCCAAAAAGGGTAGAAAAAGAAGAGGGAAGGGTGTGGACCACAAACTTCATCTGTTGGTTGTTTGCTTTGTTAGCATAGGGTGGGGGGGAAGTAATGCATGGGGATGTGGTTTGTTTTGTCTGTAATGATAAGCAAATAAAGCAAAGTTTAAATATCACTTGTTGTAATAAGTGGGAAGTGGGGATTGATTTTGCATGAATGATGTGTTGAAAGTGACAGTGCTGTCAATTTAGGTTCCTTTGTGGTAAATGCTTATCTAATGGTGCTCAAGGAGTAACAATTTAGAAGAGAAGGATTTTCCCTTTGTTTGTTGATGTGATTTCTGATACGCAGGTGAAGGACCCATATCACATGCACAGCCATCCCAAGCCTTCATCTCCTGTATTTACAGAAAGATATATATGATATTACTCATGACTTCATACAAAAATCTGCATGATTAAAAACAGAATCAGAATGACAGTACCAGCAGGGATAACTTGGACTTAGGCACTGTAGGCTTGTTATGAAGAGACTTTTCTCAATTAGATTATTGTAAACAGAAATCAAGTAGTCCATTCTAACTGCACCACAACTAATCCACATAGGAAATTAGTTCTTATGGTTCACTCCCAATATGGAAGTTACTAGGAGTAACATACTTAAACATAGGGTTTAGGTATATAGGTCTGTTTTCTCTGTTACTTGTATGACTAAAATATTTTATTGAGATGCACAGTGACAGATGTACTTGTGAACTGGATTTTAAATCAAAAGCTTGTGAAGTACTCATGGCAGTGGGAAAGGGTAGAAAGTTGAAAGAAACATATCATATTTTTCATGGAAGCCAAAGGTCTAGGGAACATCAACAAGAAAATCACCTCTGTAACTTCTCAAGAAAATATGGGTACGTTTAACTTCACCATGGATCAAATTAAGTGCTGATTCTGCTTTCAATAATTTTTAGATTTTCACATCAGAAACATGTTTCACTTGTCTTTAGTTATAAGAAAATGAGTCAAAAAAATAGATCTAATGATGCATATTTGCTTAAACGGTTAAAATATTTAGTGCTTGGAAATATGAAAACTGTACTTCCACCACTCTGGCATAAAATGATATCATAAACTCTTTTTTTTTTATAATTCAAATGATGTCACAAAGTTGGAGGATGGCATTTCCACATTAGCTGGTAATCTTGACGCATGCATGTTTCAATAGTACGCCTTTGGCCACAACAATCATGGTACTGACATGACCCAGCACGCTAACACCATGGTTTCACAAGAAGGCAAGAAGCCATTGTACTTGCCACTTGATGTGAGTTTTCACCATGGATGGCTTCTAGTTGTAACAGACAAAAGCAAATAGTTTCAATCTTATAACAAAAAAAAATTTATTTTCAATTGGGAGGAAAAGAAAACAGGAGAGGTCATTTCGTTTGGAAGTTATAAAAGGTTAACTGATGTTTGACTGTTGATGTCTTTTATTCTGTGACAGTTTTATGGTTTTCAATCTTATGGTCATGCCTGCTTAATTAATCTTTGATGGAGTTATTAAAGCTGTATTCCAGCACATAATTGAATTAAACTCATTACAAAAGGGTCTTAAGTCATTTTCAAAGACTTAATTAAGCACAACACAACTAATGCTTAATAATTCAGAGAAACTTCATAAAAACTTCTGTAAAGGAGAGAGGAAAATGACACTTTAACCTTTTACCTGGACGTTGTTTCCTTGTTATCTTGACATTTTAAAGGTAAAGCAAGTTAGACTTGCACATATGTTCTTGTAATATGTTTCAGTAGGCTTTTTACATGATAAGGATTTTAGATACCCTTTATATGTGTTATGTCACTGAATCCAAATTTTTCTATGCTGCTTATGTAAGTCAGTCCCTTAAACCAAATCTCTTCTATAATACTCTCCTGTATTTAGTCATAATATACGTATATATATAATTTAAGGTAAAAAGTTGGCCACATCATGGCAAAAACCATGGTAAAGCTAAAAGCTTAATGGATACAAAATCAATTTCTGCTAGTATAAATGATGTTTGGCCACAAATGTAGAATCAGTTGTAACATTAGCTTGCCTTCTCTTAATTTCCCTTCTGGCCATGAGAATCGGAATATCACAGTGTACATATTTCTCCAAAAATCATGCCCATCACTCTCATGTTGAGTTGGTTTGGTCCCCCTTTTTCTTCTTTTTATTTAATTATTTAATTTTATTTATATTACTCATGAAACAAATCAATACTAAAACCTAACTAGTCATCATGCCCGTGTCATCTTTGTTCAATAACACCCTGCATAAAGCATTTACATATACCAAAGATTCAAACTTGAAATTAGCCATGAAAATGAGAGTACAGAAACACAATGATATATCCCATTATGCCATAGTAATTGTGATCCCTTGTGAAATGGTCCACAAGTTTGTGTCTTTAGCAAAGTGTGACGAAGGACAGTTGTTGAGAATTGTATACTGATAGGACAAAGAAAGAGGTTGTAGTGAGATTCTTGGTTGGTGTGTGTAAAGAAGGGATAGTGCAGAGACAGCTTGCATGGGCACTACATGATCTGATTCAAGAAGGTTGGAATTTGGTTTTGGTCCCAAGATTTTGGTATGCTAAATGAGAATAAAAGCATAAAATCAAAATGTGCAGCATAGATACATGATCTGGTTTGAAGTCACCTTTGTGTCTTCTTTGCATGCGATTGCTTTTCTCTTATCAACGCTTTGTAGCTTTTGCCTTTATACAACGGTATCTGATTCTGCCTCTATTTTCATGTATGATAACTATATATTCTCTTTTCAACTAGTCAAAATTATAGTACATATGATTCTTATATTTACTAAAGGTCTATAATTTAATTATAATATATACAAAAATATACAAATTAATTGAGTTTAAATTTAAAGTTTTTATGCTGTCTCTTTTCTTCATATAAAATAAAACACAAATTAATAAAGTTTTTAGATTAGTTTAAAACAATAGTTAATATAATTAGTAGTTAAATTAAATTTGTTTTGAATATATATATATATATATATATATATATATATATATATATTAAAACTATTATTTATTTAATAATGCATACTTTTTACTTTTAAATGTTTTTAATTTTAGTTGTCCATGTCTCTTTCATCAATAATATATTTATTATTTCAATATGAACAATCAAAATAACATATCTTATTTATTTATTTACAAAATAAATAAAAAATACATACTTTATAATTCATGTGCATGTATATTAAGGAATTTAAGTTGCTAATAAATTTGATATTTTCAATTGAGTTTTTATTTACTCAAAATTTTGATAGTTTCATTCTTTTTCTTATCATTTAATATTTTCTTTAACTAGGTGACATATTATAATTTTACTTATCTCCAGGTGTTAAAGAAATATAAGATTTTGTGATTGATATAAATATCTATATCATATTAATGTAAAATGATTAGTGATTTTTATTGCACGAAAATGTGATAAATAACCGATATATGGTGGAGATCAAATCTCATCAATTGGAGTGATAGAGCAACCCCTCAATCACTATAGATAATGGTTATGAGAGCAATAGAGAAATATCACAATTTTGTTATTCAATACCTTTTCAATTAAAGCAATAAAAGATATTTGTGATTTTATATTATTACACTATCATTTTATATTAATTGTTAGAATTGTGTAAGAGAAATTTCACTTTTGGATAAAAACTAAGAGAAGGGTAAATTAGTTCACGATTGGATAAAAACTAAAAGTATATGGTGAATTAGTTTACTTAGTTGTACTGTGTTTTTAAAATTTTTTTATTTTTATAAACTGATTTTATAACAAAAATTGATTCTTTTAAAACAAGAACAAGAAAGATGAAAAGTATAGAGAAATAAAAGGTTGCACTAGTAGTTTTAATTATACTAGTTTGGATAAAAAAATCCTACGTCTAAATATTAATCTCTCTACATAGAAATTAACTAATCACTAAGAAATAATCCGAACTTACAATCATAAAGAGTAGAGTAAAGGTTAGAAAACACCTCTCTTGAAGACAGAAGAGATGAACAATACCTTCTTTGACACACAAACGATGAACAACACCTTTTTTGACACACAAAGGATAAAACAATTTCTTAGCAACAACAACAACACTCTGAAAGTACAAGAAAAACACTATAGGGGAGTGGTGAATAATGTTTTTGCAATTCTTTCGCAAAGTAGTGTCTAATACTTTGTAAAGAGAATGTATAATTATTATAAGTAGACGCTGGGTTTTTATAAGATAAGTAAATGGAAAACGTTTTGAATAGGAAAGCAATAAACCACAACTTTTTATACTGGTTCACTCAACTTGAGCTACGTTTAGTTCTCCCTTAAGAACTCTTAAGGGTTTCCACTAATATTTTCAAGATTACACGAGTTTTGTTTTTCTAGGATCTCACTAAGTATTCTTTCCACTTGTAGTTACAACGAGTATTAACACTACTTCTGGTTTTCTAGTCAACACGACTAGACAAATTTAGCCACTCCTAGATCTAATCCTAAATAACTGTCCATATGTTCAACTCAACCTGAGCTAAACAACCAAGTATTTGAGTTCTCTTCAAAACTTACAAAAAATCCATAAAAGGATTTTCTATAAGGTATAGATGAATAACTCTTACTAAGAGGATATGTGTTCTAATACAATACAATCTGTGACACTTAAATGTGTTTCTCTTTTTCTCTAAGATTTTCCTCTTAAAAGATATTGAGCTTGAGACGATATATGAATATTGTAAGCTTTTCTCTCTTTTCAAGTTGTTATTCTCCTTATGTTATCTTTCTTGCGATTTTCATTAACATCTTGTCTTCAAGCTTTGTTTATATATAGCTTATCTTGAAGATGACTGTTAAACAGAAAAGTTGACTTCTAAAGAATTGATAACTTTTAGATGTGAAGTCTGACTTTACTATACTTTGTAAGGTCCAAAGTTTCCTCTCATAGCCTTACCGAAACTTGAGCTTTTATGATGTGATAGAGTAAATGACTTCAAGGGAAACATTCTCATAATATTCTTCTCTCAACGTCTTTTTATTGGGTGTCGTGATTTTGATCATATCTTTATGCTTTGTTAATCTGCATGAAAATCAAGAAACAAAATATACAAGTATTGAAGTACTTTTTTGTACATGCATTAAATGTTTTGAATGTTGATAAGCGTTAGGTAGTGTAGCATGTTCAATAC